TATTTATTGAGATACAGGGCTAGGCTCTTCACATGTTATTATATTTAGTTCACTGTGTGGGGTAGAAATTATAATCGTCATTTAAGATAAGAGGCCAAATAATCTTGCCCAAGATCACCCTGCTAAGTGGTAGTGGAACTGAGCTTTTATTTTATTCTGATTTCAAAGCTTCTGTTGTTTCCTTTCCACCAAAAGGGATGATGAGGGTCTGTTATGCCAGAGGCAATGCTATGGAGACATCTTCCTTCCACTCAGAAGACTCCTAATTTAGTTGCACCTCATTTGGAAGCTTCTCCATCCACTTCATCATTCTAATTGCTTTAATATGACAAATTGACCAATTACTACCATGTTATTTATAACTATAGTGGAATTAGTTGCTTGGTTCAATCAAGCAACCAAAAAGTAACTGATTTGTAATGGCTCAATTTATCAAAGTGTTTGGAATGGTGTGCATAGACATAACTTACATTAGCATTAGACAAATTGCACAACAGAATACGAAGGGGATATCTGAGTATTCACAGATGACACCTGAACTGGAAGGATTCTAACCCTAGCTCTATCTATGACCCAGTAGACAAGAAATAACTTTGAGTGCTAAAAGATGTTCTGGAAAACTTTTTGTTTTGCTGATAGAGAAATGGAAGCCCAGGAAGCATAAAGGGGTTGCCAAGATCTCCTAGCCAGAAAGCAACAGATCTTAGACTTGAACCATCTGTATTGTCCTGCTGCCAGGTCCTAGAGAACTTTTCCCACCATGCCTGCTGCACTGTGACATTGAACAAGTCTTTTAGCCTCTTGAATCTTCACTTACTTTGTCTGTAACATGAGAGGATTGGTAGGTATATCAGTTAGCTTTCACTAGATAAGAAACTACCCAAAACTTAGTAGCTTAAAACAATAATCATTTTATGTAGCTTGTGATTCTATAGTTTGTCCAGGTGGTTGTTCTGGTCAGAACTGGGTCAGCAGATCTCTCTCGTGCTTCGGTGGTCAGCTGGTGGGTCTAGGCCAGCCAAATATAGCTTCACTACTAGTTCTGGTGGTGGGTAGACCAGTGCCTGGGGATTGGCTGTTCATCAGCTGAGGTACTTCCACTCTTCCCCACAAGGCTATCCCCCCACTTTGTCCTCCCGCAGGCTTACTCAGGCTTGTATATCTGGTGGTTTCAGGGTTCCAAGCATAGAAAGGGAGGGCAAACCCCAGTGAGCATACTCTTTGGAAATCTTTACTATGCCATGCTTGCTAGTCTCCCGTTGGCTAAAGCGAGTTACATGGTGTGGTAGGCAGTTTCAGAAATGGCTCCCAGTGACTCCTGCCTCCTGATATTGTGTCCTTGTGTAATCTCCTGTTGTGTGAGAGCTGGACCTACTGACTTGTTTCTAATGAACAGAATATGCCAAAGATGATGGGGTATCACTTCTGGTATTAGGTTATAAAAGACTGATACTCAGTGACTCTTTCCATGTGCTTGGCCTGGTAAAGCAAGCTGCCACGTGTGAATCACCCTATGGAGAGGTCCATGGGAGAGGGGACTGAGGGTGCCCTCCAGCCAACAACCAGCGAGCAAGCGAGACCCTCAGCCTAACAGTTCCCTGAGGACTGAACCTTCTGTTCTTTCAGAACTCAACAACCTGTCAGGGAGTGAGCTCGGAAGCAGACCCTTCCCCAGCTGAAACTTTGGATGGGAACGCAGGCTTGGCCCATACCTTTACTGCGGCCTTGTGAGAGACTTCGAAGCAGACGACTTAGCTAAGCCATGCCTCGGTTTCTGACCCGCAGCTAACTCAGAGTCAGTGTGGGAGGGGAAGATCTAAAGGTGTGGTTATAGGAAGGGTAATTATAGAAAGTATTCACCTATATTTGCAAACAATTTACCACAGATAAACTTTTTTCCAGCCTTTGGAAGTCTGAGGTGGAATGACCTTCACTACTTCAACTATTATTTATATTCTCTGTGCTTAGTACTGGGAACAGGTGATGAATAAGAGAGTCCATGTTCTTGCCCGCAAAGAGTTTACAGTTTGTGGAAGGGGAAGGGAGATGGGGAAGGACATTAGCTCAATAATTCCTTCTTTAATGATTCATTTAAAGTTGTAAGTGGTATATAACAGTCTGGGTTGGGGTTGGTCAGAGAAAGCTTCTTTGAGGAAGTGGTACAGAAGCTGAGGAAGTCGGCAGGAGAGAAAGATAGGGGAAAGGGGAAAATTCCAGACAGAAGGAGTGGTGTTCTTAAAGGGGAGCTGGAGAGGTAGTCAGCAGCTACGGCACAAGTTCACATTTATGATCAAATTGTATCCTATCATGTGATGATGGTATTGTGGGTTGTGTTTTTAGAAGTCTCTTTAGAGATAAATGTTAAAATATTTATGGATAAAATTCTGTGATGTCTGGGATTTGTTTCAAAAATAAGCTAAAAATGAAATAAGATTTTCCAAATGAGTTAATGTTTATTGAAACCAGGTGATGAGTATGCGGGTGTTCATTATACTAATCTCTCTAATGTTATATGTGTTTCATTTTCTATAATAAAATTTTAAAAACTTGTATCCTGACTACACCTCCTGAAGGCTGCGTGTGTATGTGTTTAAGATCATAATACATTTACCTCCTCCTGCTGCACTGCAGACAGTTCAGGTTAACGACACCTTTTGGGCAAGGGGATGGAATGAGTTTTTTGTTACAGCAAATGTAACGGCTTCTCAGCTTCAAATCATGTGGTTAACATAACATAGGGCATTTGGATAATTCCCCTTGCCTACTGGCTAAGATGCTGTATTACATTATTTTTCATGATTGTTTTTCACTAGCTGAGATGGTACGGTTTCATACATAGTAGAATCTTATAACATGGTTCACCCTAGAGTAAAAGCCAGTGGAAAGATCCTGTTCAAATATTAGTTACCGAAATACTGAAAGAATTCTGTTATAAGGCCTTAGACAATATGAACAGTATTAGAGTGCATTTATAGGTTGGGGAAGAAGAAAATAGGGTAGGAGAGATGGGAATCTGTCTTCGAAAAATTCTGGGTTGTCTTGCTATAGTAATAATCTATAATGGGCTTTTTTTTTTTTTGGTCTTTTGTGACTGTCTTTTTTTTATATTATGGACTTATTTGATTAAGTTTTCCTTTTACTCAAGTTATTCTGAGGTGGGTCAGCCTGTGAAATTAACAGCAGGGATGGATAGATTTTATGAATCAGGGACAAGGCTTTAGGATTTGGACACCTGGGGCTGATGCTGAAGAGATGGTTTCATGTTTGTAACTGTTTCAATGTTAGGCTATTGGGGGAACCATATTTTGAGGTTTTGATTAAGATTTTTCTTGAAAATACCTTTGCCACCAAATTGAGTGTTTCCCCAACCCCTAATAAAGACCTCCCTAGAGTCAGATATATGCAAATTACTAATTACATTTCCCTTCTTTAGTGAAGGTTAAATAAAAGGGAAAATTATGAAAGATTGTTTATAGAAGCAAGAATTTTCAGTGCTTAATGAATTTGCTTATTTCAAAACCATGGTGAGTCTCTTTGTCAGTGCAAAGCAAGAAAGGAATAAAATGATAAGAGAAAGTGAACCTGGGCATAAACATGTCCTCATACAGACAGCATTTGTGTTAAAAAGCTTTGTTGTTGTTCCCTGAACCTTGGCAATTATAGGCACTTTCCTCTGCTTTGAAAAACATTTGGCAAATAAGCAGAGGAGGTCCCCTCATTTTCAGGGTTCATGCTGGGCTTAGCCTTGTTGCAGGGAAACACTAATTCCCAACTGTGCTCCCTGGGAGCAAATGGTTTGTTTTCTCTTCACTGAATCCAGCCCAGGGTGGGCTCTTACAGTCCAGACTGCCATGGAAAATCTGTTTGGAGCAACTTGTCCCCAGAAAGGAAGAACACAAGCTGATCGTGTGGGGGAGCTGCGGCCACCGCCCAGTCAGTCACACCCGAGGGCCAGGGCAGGTGTTAACATGCAACAATGGACATACAGAGCCCGAGGCAAACATGAGTCCTGTTTGTGTGCCTACCCCCACATGTACTACACACACAAAACTCCACCCAGTACACCAGGTACACACACCACATGGCCACACATACGCACACTCTATATAACAACCATATCCACCTACACACCATGTACACACAAATACACACATATGAAACTTGTGCACATACTATGCACACCACATACACTCTACTACACACCACTCACACTCCACATTGGTCATATACATCCATGCCACAAACACATGTATACACACACCTCATCACAAGCACTCCATATAACAGTCACATGCATCTCACACACATGTACTATGCATACATTTAACAGCCTATCCAACTACACACATACCCACCACACGTGCACCGAACCACACACACATAACACATTATATATCAGTCCTGTGCACAACACATGCAACACACACTCCACAGCATCGCATCCAGCCAGCTTGGTTCTTTTCCCTGCTCAGCAAGGCCTGCATGCACTATACAGCTCCAGCGGTCCCGGCAGGCAGGTGCGGTCCTGGCAGGCAGGTGCGGAAGAGAGGCTTATCGCACACCAGTGCCAGGAGCGGGTGCAGGGATGGGGTTTCCCGCGTGGGGGTGGGGGCTGGCAGCTTTGGCCCCTGACTTGGGCCAGAAGGGGTGACTTCGGGACAGGAGGCAGGTCCTTGGGGAGTGCGCGCGCGTAGAAATATGCGCGCCTCTGAGGGCTTCTGTGCCCAGATACCCTGGGAGGTGTGTACGAGGGAAATGTGAGGCGCGTGTAGGGAAAAGCTGTGTGTGTGTGGGGGGGGGGTGGGGGTGGGGTGGTGGGTGGAGGCTGAGCGGTCCGGGTGGGCGTGCCCTCGGTGTGCCCAGCCCTCCGTGGAGTGTGGGTGTGAGTCCTCGAGATGACCCAGCTCCAAGGGAAGTGTGGGTGTGAAAACCAAGCCGCCGAGGCATGTGTATAGTCGTAACAGCTCTCCGGGGGTTGGGGTCAGACTCAGAGGAATGACTGAGTCTGTGGCGGGGACTCGCTGAGTGTGGAGGATACGCCTACGATAGCAGTCCCTTGCGCGGTGTGTGTGTGTATGTGTGTGGAGGCCGGGGTAGCGGAGGAACGCGAGTGGTCTGCCCCGCTGGCTGGCGCGCGCCTGTGTGCGCGTGCGCGTGGGGCGCGGCGAGCGCGGAGACGACGGAGGGAGGGGAGAGGTGGCGGCAGGCCCAGCCCCCGGTCGCAGAGCCCGGGGCGGCTCCTTCGCTAGCCTGGGACCGCTGCACTCCTGCTGCTGCCAGGAGCTGCTGTGACTTTTGGCCCGCGTCGCGCCCTCCCGTGCCTGCAGCCTACTGGGCTCCCTGTCCGCCCAGACGCCACTTCTCTGGGCTTTCGATCTCTGTTGCGGAGGGAGAGGAAATGAGTGCCGCGGAGGCGCCAGCGCCGGAGCGGGGTTGGAAGAGTGAGAAAGTGGACGAGGCTCAGGCCCTGGCGCGGAGTTGTGCAGCTCGGAGACCAGACTTTCAGCCGTGCGACGGGCTCTCCATCTGTGCCACGCACAGCCATGGCAAGTGCTTCAAGCTGCACTGGTGCTGCCACCTAGGATGGTGTCACTGTAAGTCGAGCCGCGTCTTCCCGCCTTGCGCTGTGGTCCTGGGTGCCCGCTGGGCCGTCTGGGGTCACGGCTGGGACTGAGGCCGTGGGGGCTGTGGGCCTGGCCGGGGCTGCTTTGCTGCAGACTGGGGCGCCCTGGGCTCCGGGCGGGCGGCAGCTGCCCTCGCGCCGGACGGCTCCGGTTGGCGCTGCCTTGGCAACGAGATGAAATTCCCGTGGGGAACCAAGCTTTAGCCACTTATACAAAAGGGGATCTCCCTGTCCCAGGAAAACTGGGAGCTATTTTTTCTTCCTAAACCAAAACGACCAAGCAGTGTGTTGAGAGACGTCCGAGTTGATGACAACTAGAGGGAAAGCCTTTTCTAAAGACTGGTGGTTAAAGATGCCCCCTTTTCTTCCTCACTTTTATCTTTCCGGGCAGCTATTTAAAGAAGGGAGCTTTTGGAAATTAAATTGTGGCCCATTTATTGCATCTAGTTGAGAAAGCGCTAAAGTGTGAGAAACTGCTTCCAAGAAGTTAATATTAACAGTTTGGAAGGATGAACTCCTTAAATATCCAGCTGCAGCATGTAGAGCCAATATATGAGACTTAAAATTACAAAGTAAAGTGAATGAAAGGAAGCTTAAATAATCTTACTGATTTATAAAAGCCAGAACTAAATGGTGTAGGCCTTTTCTCTCTGTTTATCCTGCATGGGATTTTGAAAATGGATTAAACTTAAGTAGTCTTTTAATCAGAATTTCACAATTTGATTAGTTCGTGGTATTTGGCCTGCTGTATCATTTCTTATTAGAAATATATTGCAAACGTAGTTTCCGCATACCATTATAGTAGAGGGTTTTGGAATGCTTATTTAGACAGAAATTCTCGAAGTGATCTTAAGTTAAAATATTTTCCTCGTTGGTGAGAAAAAAAATGGCTTCCAAAAAGAGATGCAGTAGATAACAAATCTTTATTTACATTAGTTGAAAATAATAGAATATTTTAATGAGTTTATGCTTAAAAGGTGATACTTCTTACATTTATTTTATAGTACTAAATTCTTTTTTTACATTTATTTACATTTATTGAATGGTATTGATTTTTTTGTGTGTTCTTTGTGCTGATGAGTCAGTTTCTTCCTATATCTCAAGTTATTCCTCTTGCTGTCAGACCCATTCCCAATTATAAAGCATCATTTTAGTGTGGGACAGGGCACAAAACTGGAAGAAGCAACTGTAGGAAACCTATAATGCTGAAGTACACAAGTAGGATGAATCTGGTGAGAGCCTATTTCCCTGGGGAAGAGTAGAATCGTAGTATAGAATGTCAGGAACATTAAAGATGGTTTAGTTCATTGCCTGTCTTATTTCAGCAGTCTCCCTTCTAAATACATCATTAGTGATTGGAACCTTGCATTCTCCTCAGGCAGCTTCTTCCTTCATTGGAGAGCTTTGACTAGAATACTACTCTTCCTTATTTGGAGCTGAAGTCGGTTACTTTCTAACTTCCTTCCATTTCTCTTATTTCTGCTTTATGAGATCATATAGAACAATCCAGTCCTTTTAAAAATTATTTATTTTAATTTTTAAAAAATCTTCACCTGATGACATATTTTTATAGATTTAGGGAGTAGAGGAGGTGGATTGGGAGGGAGAAACATTGATGTGGGAGAGAAATATCAATAGGTTGCCTCCTGTATGCACCCTGACCAGGGGTCGAACCCTGAACCTAGGTATGTGTCCTGAACCGGAAATTGAACCAGCATCTTTTTGGTGTGTGGGCTCATGCTCCAACCAACTGAGCCACCTGGCCAGGACTCCAGTCCTTTTTTAGAACATGGCTGTTTCAACTCTTTAGATACACACACAAATTTCTTACCAACATAGACTATATTCTCTTTTTGTCCCCGGCCACAGGTTTGAAATTCATGTGTGTTGAATGACTGAATGAAGGTAGCCATCATTTTCCTCTGAAGGCATTGTTTTATCCTGTTTATAAATCTCTGTTGCCTCCTGTCTTTCCTTTTATGGAATAGTGTGCAGACTTGTATGCATCCTGATCTGTTCTGAATATGTGCCAGTAAGGTTAAGATCCTTTGAAGGGCACCCAGTATCCCAGTTGTGGTCTGATCAGTCCAGAGTTGAGCAGAACTCCTGTCTCCCATGTTTGAGATACTACTCCTGCTGTAACATGCATCACATTAGCATTTCTGATATGTCCACATCATATTGAGCTTGCTGCTATCAGATTGAACTAAGCTTGTGGTCAACTAAAGCCATTGTTTGTTTGTTTCATGTATGTGGCAATTAAGTCACAGTGCTTGCCCATTTCACAGTTATATGTACAGATTTGGCCACGGGTATTAATTGAGCCCTTAGATATTGTTCCCTATTAGATTTCATTTTATTAGAATGAGCCCATATTTTCTGGCTTATCATTGTGTTTTTAGATCCCAGGTCTTTCATAATATATACCACGAGTCCCCTAGTTTCATGTCAACTGCACATTGGATACCAACAATAGCATCGTAGTATAGTAACCTCATTCAAATTATTGATAAAATTGTTGAACAGGAGAAGCACAGATTGAGTCCTGAAACTTGGTGGTAGAACTGCCCTTCAGGTGGATAGCAGTTTGTTAATGAGCACTCGTTATGGTCGTTTAAAAACTTACCTAGCTACATAATTGTACTGTTGGCCATCTTATGTTTATCTTATCCATATGGGTACATTGAGAACCTGGTCAAGTCCTTTATGAAATTCTGCCTACACACTATTTTTTGCTGCTTTATGAGGTATGATCTGTGTATAAACACTCTTAAAAAAAGGAAATTAGATTAGTATAACTCAGATTGGTTCCAGAAATGCTTATCACTTTCTTTTCTAAGTGATCGGAAGCCATTTTTTAAGTAAATAATCTGAATTTAGAAAAAGACTGATGTCAAGTATACTGAATTATTGTTGGCAGTCCTTCCCATTAAAAAAAATCAGACCTACTTATATTTGCTCTTTTCCAGTCTTTTGGCAACACTCTGAGTCTCCATGCTTTTTTCACTGGCTTAATTCAGAGATCTCATTCACAATGTACTTTATTTCATTTAGAGCATCAAGGTGCCACCTTGCAGTCTCCACACCAATACTGGACATCAGTTCTTTCTGCTCCCCCCCTTTTTTAGGCCAGTATCACTTTTTCTTGAAAAAAGCAGAGTTAACATTTTTGAGAAGTTCTATTTTCTTTTCGGCATTCATAAACATTACATCAGTCCTAAGTAGAATTTCTTTAATTCTGTTGAACATGTATTGAGCACCTTCTTCTTGTGAGACATTATTATGGACACTAGGAATACAAATACGAATACAGCTGGATCCTACCCTTCAAGCAGAATATAAGGGCATGATTCATGCCATATTTATTTTTGTATTCCTTTAAAACTACAAATGATATGGGTGGGAAAATGATCAACTTATTCACCAAATCAGAAAATGCTAAAATGAGACTACCTTGATGTTTAGGAAATTCAGAACAAATAAAGGAAGTTCAGTTTTATATGGTTGATGTTAAACTTGTAAAATTCATAACCTTATGAAATAGAAAAGGCTGAAAATATATATAAGTTCATAAAGGACATAAAACATGTATATATTCATAGATTCAGTGCTTGATGTATTATTAAAGGAAATAATTAGTGTATTTGGGTAATGACAGATTTTAAGGACCATGTCTGGGAGGGAAACTGTAACACACTTTGTTAGTGTCACTGTCAAAGATAAATTACTGGGCTGAATAAAGTACAGCCCTGAATCTGTAACTTTATTTTTCCCCAGTAAGGAATGATACTGGGTTGAGTTAATGAGTGCAGGATTCCAGGATGAGTTTTGAGAGAGAAAAAGACATATCTTGGTCAATGAAGAGGGATGGAAACGGGTAAGTCATGGGTAGATATTGTAAAGTAGTTTTTGTGGCTGGAGTAGATACAATATTTAGAATGAATATGAAATTCGATGGTTGAAATGTTTATTGAGGGATAAACAGGAAAGATGGGGAAGTCTGGAATTTCATTTGATAGAGACCTTGGTACCATAGTGATAACACGGACAGCAGGGGAATGAAACCAGCAAGGGAGATTATTTTGGTATTAGAGTAAAAAATAGATTGAAATTTATACAACAAGATCCATGTAATAGAAGTTAGAATAGATTAGATTTGGAGGGTAAGGAAGAGGTTGGCTATAAAGGATAACTTTCTGACTTGTTGAATTCTGCCTTGTGCAACATAGATGAATGGTGGTGCTATTTATGCACTAACAACAACCAAGTACTGAAGAAGGACTAACTTTGGTTGGTCATGGGTTATGAATCCAGTTGTGGATCATGAATTTAGGAAGATCATGAATCTTGTTTTGGGTCTATTGACTTTAACCTGCCTTACCATCATATGGTGATATCGATAGGTAGTTTAGTTAGTTAGCTCTAGTGATCTAGAACTCAGAGGCGAGGTCTGTATCAGAGATAACATGGAGGTCATTTACTCATTTATAGATTTTAGCTTTAGCCATGATGAAACATGAGATCCATCAAGGGAGAGACTATAAGAAATGAAGAGAATACTTAGGCTTTCCCTTTAGAGCACTAGCATTTAGAGCCTAGGTATAGGAGGATGAGCTGGCAGTAGTGTCTAAGAAGACAGGGCCAGAGAAGAAAAATCAGAAAGTGTCATATTGCAGAAGCCAAGGGAAATGAATATTTTAAGAAATAGTATGAAGATGAAATCCATTTCAGCAAGTTATTTATTTCTTAAATATGGGTGAAATATACAAATGGTGATTTTATTACTAAAAAAGAGTGTGAAAGGTTTAGTCCTGCAACACTAACTTCAGGAATTTACTTAATTGCAGTATTAGTCAAATCTTTTAAGACAGTGAGTTTTTCAAGATGTAAAGAGGAGAATGGAATGTCAGGAGCTGAGAATAAGGACACAGAGATAATAGTTAATATTTATTGAGTGATGACTTTGTGCCA